CAATTTAGCACGGCCAATCCACCCTAACCCGCACATCCCTGGGCACTATGGGACAATTTAGCACGGCCAATCCACCCTAACCTGCACATCTTTGGATTGTGGGAGGAAACTGGAGCGCCCGGAGGAAACCCACGCAGACATTAGGAGGACATGCAAACTCCACACAGACAGTCGCCCCAGGCTGGGATTGAACCTCAGTCCTTGGCGCTGTGAGTCACCAGTGCTAACCACTGAGCCACCATTCCTTGTTTTAAAGGAAGAACGAGAGAAGTGGGGAGGTTTGGGATGAGAAATTCCAGTTCATAAGATCATAAGATATAGCTGCAGAAATAGGCCAATCTTGTTTCTTTATTCCTTTACAGGATGTGAGTGTCATTGGCCAAGCAAGCATTTATTGCCCATTTAATTGCCCAGAGGGCACCTCAGTGTCAACCACATTGCATGTCACATGTAGACCAGACCAGGTAAGGATGGCAGTCTCTTTCCCTAAAGGACATGAGTGAACCAGATGGATTTTCCAAAAATGGATAATAGATTCATGGTCATCAGTAGATTCCTCATTCCAGATATTTATTGAATTCAAATTCCACCATTTAACACGATGGGGTTCACACACTGAGATCCCCCGAACATTACCAGGGTCTTTGGATTAACAGTGTAGCAATAACACCACTAGGTCATCGCCTCTCCATTCAGCCCATTGAGTCTGCTCTACCATTCGATCATGGCTAATGTGTTTCTCAACTCCATTCCCCTGCCTTGTCCCTGTAACCTTTGATCCCCTCACTAATCAAGAATCTATCTAACTCCATCTTAAATACACTCAATGTCTTGGCTTCCACAGCCTTCTGCTGTGCAGAGTGGAGGCAGCAGATATATGGGAAGCTCCCCTCCGAGCCACTCCCCATCCTGACTTGTATCGGCCATTCCTTCAGCGCCGCTGAGTCAGAATCCTGGAATTCCGTCCCTAAGGGGGCATTGTGGGTCAACCCACAGCACATGGACTGCAGCGGTTCAAGGAGGCAGCTCACTCCCACCTTCTCAAGGGGAGGCAACTAGGTACAGAGGGCAATAAATGCTGGGCCCAGCCAGAGACACATGAGTGCCATGCAGAAAGCCATCACTATCTAGTTCTCAAACTTTGCTGTCTACTCTGTCCAGACCACTTGAAGAAATCTCCTCTCAGTCTTCTCTCCTCTAATAGGAACAACCATCATCCATCAATCCATCCACGCAACTAAAGTCCTGACTCTCAAGAACCATCTAGGTGAGCCTTTGCAACAGTGTACCCAACACTTTCACCTCCTTCCGAAAGTCCGGAGCTGAGCTGAGTGTCAGAAACATGGAAGATAGGAGCAGGGATAGGTCATTTGGCACCTCAAGCTTGTTCTATCATTCAGTATGATCATGGCTGATCATTGAACTGAATACCCTAATCCCACATTCCATTTCCCCCCACCTCCTCCACCCTGATATCCATTGATCTCTTTAGCCACAAGAGCTATATTTAACTCCTTCTTGAAAAAAAAACATTATGTTTTGACTTCAACTGCTTTCTGTGGCAGAGAATTCCACAGGCTCCCCACT